TCAAAAGTAAAATTTTATTTATCTTTTCTAGTTAGATTGGTTGAGAGATAAATTTGAAGTACCTGGCGCTTGGGAATTGCCGGCGGATCATAGAAAGTTCGTTTGGATGAATATTATGAGGGCGGTGACGTTCGAGGGCTTTCTAGCACGAAAATTCCCCACTGAAAAAAGATTCGGTTTGGAGGGTTGCGAATCTTTCATACCATCGTTAATGCAGTGTTTAGAGACGTCAGCGGAATATGGTACAAAAAAAAAAAAAATCGATAAATTATTTTCATTTGCATCGAGCGAAATATATGAAATTGATGCAGCAGAGAGTGTTTATAGGGGTGGAAAGTGTTGTGATAGGCATGGCTCATCGAGGACGATTGAACACGTTGAGCAACGTTTGCTTCAAACCATTGCATCAACTTCTTACTCAGTTCAATCCGATTCCTTTAGAAGGTTTCGGTTCTGGTGACGTAAAGTATCACTTAGGGACACACGCGGAAAGAACATTGGAAAGGTGAGAGATGACGTAGATGACGTCAACTATAAAAAGTAAAGCAACTTAGTTCAAATCGTTCGTAGATCCAAGAAGAAGATTTTGATTGCTATGATGGCTAATCCGTCTCATTTGGAAGCGATCGATGGTGTTGTGATCGGTCGAGTTCGAGCCGAACAAGTGGAAAAGAACGATGCCCAATGTACGTACACTGTTACTCAGAACACTTCTTAACAACTATTTGATAATCACTAGAAAAAGATATGAAACTTTGATAGATATAATAAATTTTGTGTATTTTAATTTGTACTAGAGAACATATTTTCAATTGAATGGAAATGAAGAGTTTATGTTATATTTTGATCGAAATTGAATTCACAACTTTTTGCAGATCTTTTAGCGTGCACAGGTTGCAAATATAAATTTTTCTTATTCTTTGTATGGTATTCAGTCGTCGATAGTATTGATGTTAAATATCTCTAATAATAGTAAAAAATAGCTATCTTCTTCTCACCAATAACAGTCGACATGTTTAATGTATATTAAGAAGATATAGTTATTTAAAATTTTATACATACTCGTAAAAAAACAGTAAACATTGTTTAAGAATAATAATATACATTACGTGTTATATATTTTATAAAAGTAATCACATATTGTTGAGCAATATCACATGTGAAATATCTAAATCTATTAGGAAATTTAAGATGAAAAATTCATTTATATCAGACGGTAAAAAATCGGTGGCCATTTTGGTTCATGGTGACGCTGCTTTCTCGGGGCAAGGTGTCGTCTACGAAACGATGCATTTGACCAATTTGCCAAATTACACGACCGGCGGCGTTATTCATCTCGTAATTAACAATCAGGTAGCGATTTCTATTTGGTATTTTAACCGAGCCTGATAAACGATCAATGATATCGACCAATCGTAGATTGGTTTCACCACCGATCCCAGATATTCTCGCTCGAGCTTTCATTGTACAGACGTAGCACGCGTTGTAAATGCTCCTATCTTCCATATACATGCTGACGACCCTGACTTAGTAGCTTATTGTAGTAAAGTTGCCGGAGACTATAGGTATATATATATATATATACATTCCTGTACAGAAATCATTTTCCTGACGTTTAAAAAGATAATAATACAGGGCTACGTTCCACAACGACGTTGTTCTCGACATTGTGGGATACCGAAGATTCGGGCACAACGAATTGGACGAGCCGATGCTCACGCAACCGTTAATGTACAAACGTATAAAGGAACATCCGAACGTGCTCTCCATTTATAGTGATAAGCTGCTCAAAGACGGAGTGATTACCGAGGCGTTTGCCAAAGAAGTATATACGGAAATGTCACTGTTAATTCACATATTGATAAGTTGCCCAGTCGTTCATTTATCTAGGGATTTATCTAGGAAATTGAAAAATACTGGAATTATTGCGAAATGGAGTTTGAAAAAGCGAAAACGATCGATTCGATGCAGTTGAGCGATTGGCACGACGTGCCGTGGTCCGATTTCTTCTCTAATCAAAGCCCCCAAAATAAGATACCACCGACCGGCATCGACATAGAAACCATAAAAGCAATTTGCAAGGCAATATCAACCCCACCGCATGGTATCACGCCTCATGCTCAGGTGTATATATCCGCTGGATTAAGTGAATAAATACTAAAGCGTAAAGACTTATCGTCGAGTGTTCTTGGAAAGCGTTCCTTTCTCGATAATACGAACTTTTAATCTCTGAATGACGGAAATGACGGAAATGACGGGAACTAAAATGATTTAACGTTTTATCGCAGGTGTTGAGGGTAATGGAAAAGAGAGATCAACTGATGGAAGCTCGACAAGCAGATTGGGCAATGGGCGAAGCCTTGGCGATTGCCAGTTTGCTGAAAGAAGGTTATCACGTGAGATTGTCCGGGCAGGATGTCGAGCGAGGGACTTTTTCTCACCGTATGCACATCATTCACGATCAAAATAGAGACAAAACGTTCAAAAATATTCTGCACGATGTGTTCCCGGGGCAAGCGTTATACACGGTCTCAAACTCCTCGCTGTCAGAATATGGCGTTTGTAGTGAGTAATATCGTAAAAATCAACGACACAGTAATATCGCAATTAACGATAAGAAATTGATAAATAATAAATCGATTATGAACATAGCGTTCGAGTTAGGTTACTCCGCCTATAATCATAACACTTTGACGATCTGGGAAGCTCAATTTGGCGACTTTTGCAACACATGTCAGGTAATTCTTTCACATGATTTTTGCGAATAATAGTCTTCCAGACAGGACGTGTAACTTCCAACAGTGTGTGTATAATATTGAACAATTTCTGCCGTTATAATCTAAAGATGTAAAATTACCTTAAATTGCTTGATTTGCAGATAGCGTGACTATTCGTCACATCGATTCTACATATTAATCACTGTATTACGTATTAATTATCTTTGAAACGAGCGTGAATATTAAACGACGATGAATAAAATTGTGTATGCACTTAGGTCGCGATAGACACTATTCTAAGCTCCGGGCAAACGAAATGGGGCCGACAGGTAGGATTAGTTTTACTTTTGCCTCACGGAATGGAAGGTCAGGGTCCTGAACATTCGTCCGCAAGGCTCGAGCGATTCCTCGAGCTTTGTGACGACGATTGCGTCCATTTGCCGGGTAAGGAATCGGGGACATCGTCAGGAGAAACTGTGAAGGAAATTATGACACGGCAATTATTTGAAATAAATTGGATTGTCTGCAATTTAACGACATCTGCAAACCTCTTCCACTGTCTTCGCCGACAGATTCACATGCCTTTTAGGAAACCATTGGTTAGACACGTTTCTACTTTATCTATATTCATCGTTCCTATCATTGAATCAGATATAGACCGTTTACTTAATTGATCAGTGCATTATGACACCCAAATCCTTGCTACGTCACCCGATGGCTATATCGCCTTTCTCCGATATGGAAGCTGGAACTTCGTTTAAACCTCTTCTTTCGGATCCCTATGTCAAACTAGGCAATGTACAAAAAGTATTGATGTGCAGTGGTAAGGTGTACTACGATTTAATCACGGAACGAGAGGGGAAACAATTGGAAGATAAAATAGCTATTATTCGCATTGAACAATTATGTCCATTTCCATATCATCTTCTCGCGCAAGAAATGACAAAGTATCCAAAGGCCAAGGTACAACGATCTAACTTTTCCTTCTAACTCGAGAACGAAGACTTAAAAAGAATCTAGCCATGTATATATATTTCGAATATATTTAGATAATGTGGTTCCAAGAAGAGCACAAAAATCAAGGTGCATATACGTATGTGAGGGACAGAATAGCGTTAGCTTTAGGAAAGAAATTGGAAGAAGTGACTTATGGTGGTAGACCACCGTCAGCTTCTCCAGCAACTGGTAGTAAAGTCATTCATTCGACGGAATACAACGATATGATGGCTGTTGCTATGAAGCTCGACTAAATCAGAGTTAATCGAAAAAAAGAAAGAACAAAATTAAACAGAAGATATGTCGTTCGCGACAATGTAAGAATAAAGTAGAAAGATTTTACTTTATTGGCATGAGGATAGCATAAAGTATGAATAAACAATTAGGATAAACGTATGCATATACAATCGTATAATGAATTTCTCCTTGATCTTTCTCAGCTCAAATGTCTCTACCGATCGAATGCTGATTCACACTTACCAAAAGGCATAAATACTTGTAACCAGTTTTCTTGTAACATATGCATATCCATCTATTAAGATGATCCCACATTGTGCTTTCTTCTCACTGCGTATTTATTTTGCTTCACAATTGCCGAGATTATTGCTAGTGGAGCAGACAACTATGCGACGCGTGAAGTATAACTGAACTTGAGAACTCTCTGGGTGAATAGTGCTAATAATCAGTATAACCAACACGCGTACGTTGTAAGATTGTGTATATGGATCAAACTTCCCTATTCTTTTATAGCATTCTAATATTTTTTGAGAGATGAAATTCTTACTACGCATTGTAATTTGTCATTTGATATTGTATATATTATTTTTTTTTTAAATTTTACATTAAATAAATATACGAGATTTGTTGCAAATTCGTGCTGTTACTTTACACATGTAAGACAAATATGGTTGTTTTCATTATCCATAGTAAATATAATGTACCTACGTTAAAATATATAGAATGTGAAATGATCATTACGTACAAAGAAATCCATTGATTTTTTTTTAGCGTGTTGAATTAATGAAAGAACTCCATAATATAATCAATTCATATGACCTTGAGATTTTTAACGAGAAGCAATTACTCGAGGAATGACCCTGAATATTCAGCGATAAGTAGCGTAGTATCTTTTTATTGCCAATTTTTTAATATTTTTCATATCTTGTGAATGGAAACCAATATTGAAATTGTTTCAGATAAAAATTTTATTTTTTTTTAAGTATTCAATTTATTTTTGCCATTGTGGCATGAAACATATGTAAAATTACATACATTGACAACGAATAAAGAACTGATAAGAATATTACTCGCTTATGCATACCAAACATTTTTTGCGAATTTTGCTTATTTAGATGCACAAAACATATATTTTCGTTTGTAAAAAAGTAATGTAATAAAAAATACCATGATCTTACCATTTCGGATATGAACTTTGCAATAAATGATCCGCCACGTTGCTGTAGAAATTCTTTCCCAAGTTAAATAGAATATTTTTTTTATTATTATTTATTTATTTATTTATCTATTTATTTATTGATTGATTTTTATTTATATATTAATTATTATTATTATCTTTATTTATTTATTGGTCATTATCATTTCATGATTGTCACATAAACCGCACAGCGATTTCATTTAAATTTGCAATCTTGAACACAAAATTTATTTAATTAGAAAATATATAGTTTGATTCACAACATATTTTAAGTAATATTTTAATGACGACATCGGCAATTATTTTTCATTCATTTTTCTCGTAGTAAATTTAATACCAAGTCCAATGCTTGTCGAGTTAAAAATGGCACATCAAATTTATTCTCTTGCACTTTAACTAAATGAACTTTGTTTTAACAATTAATACACAGTAGAATAAACTGTCTGCTGATATTCGAGTAGGAGAGTAGTGACTGAGATATTCTGTCATGACAACGGATAAAAAACTCGTTATCCGTTCATCGACAATCACCAATACATGTTCCGTACTATCTATTCGAAAGATAAGAAATTTTTAGCGTTATCGAATAAGTTTTGTAGCTGTCTTGCTTACCTTTCTTGCTAGTTTCCAATATCTATAATTTCCAATATCTATAACAATATCTTACCTTTCTTGCTAGTTAATCAATATCTATAATTTCATTTAGAACATAATTCATCGAGAAATCCAACTGAGAACAGATAATTAGAAAATTGTTAACTAAAAAGAAGGTATAGAATAATTACGCGTAAACTTCCGTTTTGTTGAAATATCTCCTTGTTCTTAAAAATCTCCACAGTTAACGACGAGTATTTTCAAACATTTTCCAAGCGTTATTCTTATCATTCTATAGTTACATTAAAAACACTAGCCAAAGTCAATAAGAACAAAGCACCCAGTTGGCAGTTTTTCATAGAAATTTCACGTACGACAATGCATTTCGGGGATTTAAATGGTGTTTTGCGAAATATATCGACGAGAAACCCGTTACATGTACATCTCGTCGTATCTATGTATTTTTGGTTTAAATCTCTCTGGCGTAACGTGCTGCAATTTGAATTGAATTTCCCGCGCTGAGGGCGCTGTTTCCTTTTACCTCACTCCCCAACGCCAGAGTAGAAAAAGAAAAATGGTGGGGGAAACAGCGAAGAGGAAGGAAGTGATGCGCAGAGCACTTGGACAGTCGAAGCAGGCATTTGGTGCGGTGATGTACGGTTTGTGCGTGTCGTTTGGTCGTGTTGCGTAATCGGTTGAAAGGAGGAAGCGAGACAGAGGGAAACGCATTACAAGTCGTAGAGGCAAATTCGACCGTGCCTCGCGCTACCGTAAACGTAACGACACTGCCTGCAGCGGATCAAGAGATATGTCGCAGAGTGGAAGCAAACATTGCTAGCATTGTGAATGACACGACTGGATTTTCCGCCAACGGATCGATAACGAACGACGAGAAATTCGACACGGTTAAAATGTCGTCGGCGATCAAGTCCAGTGGCACGCCGGGCATTACCCCGCTTCTGCCCGTGCTGCGCCATTGTAAGTACGAGCATTTCGTCGCTGGTATATCAGGCGGTGTGGTCTCCACGCTGATGTTGCATCCTCTGGATCTGATCAAGACCAGGTTCGCAGGTAAGTGGATTCAAACGTGTCATTGCTGACGACATAACGGTCGCGATTGCAAATGGCGGGCACGGATTCGATCTGTTCGATATACGATATATACACGTGGTGCACGCGCTACATTCTATATTTATACGCGTGTTAGGTGAAGACAGAAAAAAAGTTCTCTCTGTCTTCGTCCCTTGAACTCGTGGATTTAGTCGCAGTTTGTTTTGCCACTTCTCGATTTTAATTGTTTAACACAATAAAAAACAATAGAAGGTAATAATAATATATTTGTAAGTGGCGTTCATCTTCGAAACAAACGATGCGTGCCGTAACATTTGGTCTTGATTTTTCGATGTCTTTTGCTTTGAAGTTTTCAAGTAGTATTTTTCGATATTCTTGCTTTGAAACATTCGATAATAGAATCTTATTTGTATATTTATATCTTGTGAAGTATTATCTAGCATGCACCTTGGTGCTGTTGTATGCTTTACTGTAGAGTAGTCTTATATCTATTATGTATTACATATATGTTACTGCTCATATATTGTTAATCTAATATCGGGCGACTACGAATCGCGTTATTTTCTCAAACCAGAGCCCTTCCAAATAAGCTAAAAAAAACAGCTGATTTCAGATTGCAATAATCTGCAATCATAACCTAACCTAAACTTTTGTTCAAGCCTTTAAATGTCCAGAAATCGAGAAGCGATATTTATTCGTGCGTCACACTAATAATTTTCCGTGAAAGATATTATCGTTAGTACTATCGTTACGTAATTAACTTACACGAAAATTGTGAATAATTTTATTAATTAATTTCTGAGAAGCTGATGCCCAGTGTTTAAACGTTCACTTTGCTGGGGAAAACTAATCGGGACAGCTAATTATATAAATCAAACGTTAGTCATTGCTTGGTAATCAGATCATCGGTCTGATCTCGAACGTGTATTGCAGATAAATAGCTGGAAATAATCGAAGGTTCCTTAACGCGTAGAGTAATAATGATTCGATAGAAAAGAATATAAAAAGCGCTGTGACGTATGGCGGTCGATGCTCCTATCATTTCGTACGAGTCGGCTGAGAACACCACGTGGCTGTTATCTAGAAGAGTTGAAAAGTATTTTTTCTTTAGAATCCACGCGATATTCAACTTTGCTCGTCCATTGTCTATTGTACGCTCCACGCGGCAGGAAGTGACGCTTATCGGTATTGATTTTCGTTATTCGCCTATTCTTAAGTATAATAAAAAATATCAAAGTATTTCACTATAGTTCTATATTGACAGTTGATAATCGACAATACTTGTACCATTCGTTGTCACGATACAGTGTTTGCCTTTTCATTAGTCATTTATCTCATTGAACATTCGGCAAAGGTTAAATAACTATCTTCTATCATTGGCACGTGATTGTCTAAAAAAAAAAGGAGCTATCTTATCTGTGGTAAAATTCTGAGAATTGGCATTAATATTCATGGCCTGTCAACGATTGAAAATTAATAATTTAATTTTTGTTTTGAAATTCAATAGCTTGTAAAATGTAGATAAGAAAGAATGACTAGCCATTTTAGCAAATAATAGTAGTAGTAATATTTAGACTCTGAAGATAACATATATTTAGATATACAATAATAGCAATGTATTTAAATGTACGTTGCATTCTGAAACGTGAGGAATAAAAGGTTAATCTTTTGGAACATCATGCAGAAAATATGTGTAGACAAAGGATATTGCTAATCTGACTGATGGTCTGCCATAGCCTCTATTGTCCTAAATTCCATTAGGCTTGGCTGTAAGGCAAGTGTTGTGCATCTGCTGCTTAACGACAACTTATATTGCTGGATATTGTGAAAATTTACAAGCATTCAATAGAATTCAGATAATACCTTGAAATATGGCCTTGAAATGTGCGGATCAACTTTCAAACTCTCAAATTAGGAATAGAAAGTAAACAGTTCCTATGCTTGTGTATTCTCAGATTAAAGAACATTTCTTTTATGCTGTTTCATTGCGTTATTAAATATGCTTTACAAATGTAAGAATTTTAGAAATTCTCTCCTGCATCGACATTTATCATTAACGTTATACTTGACATGAACGTTGTATTCGAATTACTTGGAGATTACTCAGAATTGGCCAAGTTATCGCTAATGTTATTCAATACGGTACAATGAGCAATGGTTTCTTATTGCTCCTTTTCAATGTGTACATATTTCACTGCGTTCTTATGGATTTGATGTGATTGAAATATCTATTGCAACGGTCTCTGTTAAGAAATATATTTCCATGTATATTTTTATTGACGTAACTTTTGCTGACCAATTTTGTTCCATTTATATTGAAGCAAACAGTTTGAACAAAGATTTATTTAGGCACGGTCAATACCTCTGTGCATGTTAAGATAACATTTCATTTGCAATTTGTATTGTTAATTATTATTATTATTATTAATTTATTTAATTTAATTCAACTATTAGTTGTCCTAATTTCATTATAAATTTCATTTAATAATGCGAAAGGTATATTTATGTTATTACATTATATCACTAATTGTATCATTATATCTATATTATTAATTTGCATTATAATTTCAATTCCAATTACTATTCACGTTATCAAATTCTTTTCAATAATATATGAGAGACCAACAATGGATTTGCTTATTATCTTTTTGTCACATCTTGCACCTAGATCACACAATTTTATAAAATTTCAAGAAATTGAGGTACTTATAAACTCTCATTACAAAATGTTGGCTTACATTAAATCTTAATTCATCGAGGATAAAGCAACGCAAATTATAAATTTGTATAATTATCGCTTAATGAATTTAAGATTACTAAAAAAAAAAAGCTTTGTGATAGTGGCTGTGCAATTTCTATTAATTGGCCAATTTTGAAGAGATGTCGAGGCATGCCTAACTCGAAAGTAGCATTCATTTAGCTATTAAAATTTTTATGTAACAAGGAGACATGGAAATGATAACAGTTTAATGAAGAAAGTTCATTTCACTTCTTTCGTTATTATTGAAAGACCGATGACGGAGACTCGTCGTTTCCCGTTTTATTTTCGTCGTAAAATTCGTTGGCTACATACCAAATCGCAAGAAATTCCGTGGATTGCATCAGAAGCACGTGAGCCCGAACGATTAACATTTTGATGCTTTTCTCGCGCGATTGAACTCCTATCTCATTTGAAAATTAATTCGACAATTTAATCATTTGAAGACTGACTCACGATTACCATGCTCTACAGATTTGAAATTACTTTTTTCAAGTAACTGAGGCTAAATAATTTACGTTCTCTACTTTTATATAGAGATTAATCATCTCTGTGTCTTTTTTTCACAACACGCGAGATAACTTTAGCATTTGATTATTGCTTGTTCCACGTGAAACAAGATAGAAATTTCGTAAACTCGGAAGAGAGACAAGAATAGAAAAAATTAAGTTCACAAGATAGTCTCACCAGATAGAATTATTATTACCTAGTTGTCTATACAATTATTGGACTGTGGATTTTTGTACAGATTTATATTCGTCATAATACATATATTTAAAAAATAGGAGCTCGGTAGAAAATTTTTATGTGCCAAAAATGTTTTGCGTACCAAATCTTGCAAAAGGCACTATATTCTGCATATTTTATATATATATATATATATTTTTTCATGCAAAATTTATTCTGTGCAATTTTCCATTTTTCATTTTAAATACGTAAATATATAAAAATCCGCGGTCCTGTAATTATAAATATCAATAAATCTAATTGAAATTAATTTTATCAGATTAATCTAACGTTATAAATTCGTGTCAATAGAAAACATTATCTTTTAAGCTGTTAATCCGCATAATAAACGATCGACTCATCTTTCTGTATAATATAAAAAAATTGTTGACACAATTTCAGTTTCACAAAAACACAATGATGATTTCTTATTATCAGCTCAAAGTTGTTTTGCAATATTCCAATATTGGCAACGCGTTTACAAGTGTGTAAGTCGTCGATAATTTATTACAACTTTGTTCACACCAATAATAACGAAGAATTATACTTGTGGTGAATGAATTAAATTGAACACGATGTGTACACCATTGTTTCTCTGAAACAAATTCGACGAAATAATGTTATGTAAGAATAAAATATGATTTCCAAGTGTCACGATGTTGAAGTTACAATAAGTTCCTTAGATAAACCGTGACATGTGATGAAAGAAAAAGTGATTAGACTTTGCCTATCGCTTATGTTAGTCTCTGTCTATATTATCATAGCAATGAAAAGAAATAAAGAACAATAGTACCATTTAAAAGATTTCTATATGTTAGCAGTTCATCGCATACTGTCTAGTTTTCTCTTTCATTTTTTAGACAAGATGTATTCATTATTTCTTTTTTTCCTTACAGTTAGCGATGGCCACTCACGTGTAGGTCCACAATACAGTAGTCTTAAAAGCGCAGTGGTACAAATTGTTAGGAGTGAAGGAGTCAAGGGACTCTATAGAGGGGTAACACCAAACGTTCTAGGATCTGGCGGTGCATGGGGTTTATACTTCTTTTTGTAAGACCTTAAATAATTCTATAATCAAAAAATTTTGATATAACCTTTGTTAATAATACATGGGTATTGTTTTTATTTAGCTACAATAGCATTAAAGCATGGATCCAAGGAGGAAATAGCAAGAAGCCATTAGGACCCTCATTGCACATGTTCGCCGCTGCAGATGCTGGAATTCTTACTTTAATTGTGACAAATCCACTTTGGGTGGTGAAGACACGTTTATGTTTGCAGTATATGGACGATAAACATCTTCCAGAAACGCTTAAATATAAGGGCACAGTAGATGCAATTAGAAAGATTTATAGAACTGAAGGACTTAGAGGCTTGTATCGAGTAAGTAAATTTTTTCTTAATGAAGAAAGAACATATAATCTTTAATTATATTAATCATATCTTTTAAATGTATTTTTAAATGCTTATAGGGTTTTGTACCTGGAATGTTTGGTGTCTCGCACGGTGCTATTCAATTTATGGTGTACGAAGAGCTGAAAAATTGGTATAACAATTATTTGAATGTACCAATTGATACTAGGCTGGTAAGAAAGCACGATTATAAAATATATGCTGAATTGATTTGACATTTAAAAAGAGGCCATAAAAAAAAATATATCTTCATTTGCAGAACACGTTTGAATATATCTTCTTCGCAGCGATTTCAAAATTGATTGCCGCGGCCTCGACTTATCCTTATCAAGTTGTTAGAGCACGCCTTCAAGATCATCACCACAACTATAATGGCAGTATACATTGCGTTCAATCGATATGGAGGTCAGAAGGGATAAGGGGTTTTTATAAAGGCTTAACTCCCTATCTTATACATGTTACACCAAATATTTGTTTAATTATCGTAATTTATGAAACATTTTCTAATGTGCCTACGCATTAATCTAAAATTTTTAAATGTTAGAAGAAGACAAGAACGTATTAGTCCCATTTAAATATTCTATAATTTTTCAATGATAGACTTACACTTTGATATTAGTTGTTTTTCCAGCCTGAAACGTAATTTTTAAGCTGACATTCGATAATTATTATTTGGAACGATTTTATGTGGATTGTACTTTAAAACTTTTTATTTCATTTTGTCGTTTTATCTCATTCGTCGATTTGGAACAGTATTATTAAAAAAAAGATTATTTCTAAGCATGTATATTTTGTAGGAATGGTAAAATAATATATACATTAGTTTTTATTTTCAAAGTGTAAATTTCTATCAGCTGCTTTTTATTATTAATTAGAATCAGACAGTTAATTGATAAAATAATATTGATAAATATTCTTGAAAAATGTTTTGTTTAAAAAAACAAATATATTCCAGCAGCATAACCAAAAAAGAGATTTTTACAATAGTTGTAATGAATGCAGTTATTTAATTCAGTCAGGTAATATTTTTGTGAATTCATTTTTGAAAAGTAACTTATACTGTAATAACAAATAATGGGGATAATTTTGTTGTTTTTGATAATAGTACTTTATCGCAGTCTTTGAACGATAAATGCCTTGATATTCTAAGGATATATTTAATTTTTTTAAATTTACTTTTGAGAACACAAACAATCCATTAGATTTTTTGATACTAGAACAATTAGAAACAGTCTCTAACATTTAGTATTTTACGATCATGATATGTACTTAGATGACTGTTTCGTGTAATAGTGGAACATTTTAAAAACAAAGATGACTAAAAACAGTTCTTAATTTTATTTTTGAAATATACAATAATTTACAGATCAATCATATATTTCATTTATTTAATATTTCGCGCATATAGAATAATTTTATTTGCTTTTATGAAGCGCGAAAAGGAAAACGAATTTTATATAAATTTTATAGAAATCTTATTAGCAATTTTTTTTTTGAACTAACATTCAAGTCGATAATATCTATCAGGTATTAAATGTTTTCTTTTTAAAATGAAATTATATTTTAATAGCCTTATCGTAAACTAATATTGTTTGTAGCTTCATTAAAAATGGTTTCATTTAAAGAAAATGTTTATACTCTTTCATTATATTGTAAGAATGTAACTCGCGAAAGGTACAAAATGTAACAAAGAATAGAATATGAGAAAGTCGCATGATTATATAAATCTATGAATAACATGCGTATACCTGAAACAATGGCAAATCATTTTTTAGTGTGAATATGTTACAAAAATTAGTACATAAATTACAAATTTTCATGTCATTTGCAAATGTTGATCGCAAGTTTCAATTAAGAAGATCGGCTGAGAAGTAGGCATAATGAACTTTTGTCCATATCTCGAGAACGAAAGCAACTATCTAAATGAAATAAAAAGGAAATGAAAGTACAATTTATTAGATACAAAGTATTTGTTTTCCTATATAATTACTGTTAATCTTTATATTTTTGTCAATGCGTGACATTTTTTCCATTTGGTCAACGAAGAATTTTGGCTGTCTACTTTTAATAAAGAAAGTCATTGCTGCCTTGACTTTATGGTCCGACTTAAAATGAGTATCCTTGAATGCTCTTTTCAATTCTAGAAACATTGTTTCAATCTCGGCTGACATTGTAACTATATTGAGCCTCGCTCTAAATGACACTGTTCTTCAAATAAACTTATCGATATTTGACATGTTTGTAAAGGTGAGATGTAGATAAAGGAGAGGATCATAAAGTGAGTGCTTACGCAGAAGTATATATCTTCTTCTTTCTAGAGATACAGACAAAAGTTTTCCAGTCGATTCGACTTTACGTTTACTCGTAAAAGTAAATGAAATGGAAGTGTGCGTAGGAATGTAATAATTATCTGCAATTTAATTATTACCTGTTATATTTCTGTATGCAATGAATAAGTACCTCGTTTCGAGAAATCATATTCAGATAAATATTGCAAAGTTTGTCATAGAGTCTGGTACTCGGGTCGATTGACGATGTAGCAATAATATTCAATGTTCTTGTAATTTTCAAACAGTAGGTTTAATTTATTTATATGAATTTTCTAGTTAGACTGGGACTCATGACTTACAAATTACTTAATAAACATTGGCAGCAGCACTTGATTATTTCTCATTACAAGCTAGCTGCTGGATTACTTAGATGCCCTTTCTTTTTACAATAGTAAGCGCAATGCTTTTAATATTAATATTTATGGAACTTAATAGGAGAAAAATATTTGTCGAACGATTTTCTTTGTTAAATGTAACATCGTGACGATCGCCTGTTCTATCTCCTCCCTTGATTACTACGAATGAAATTAATTGCTGTGGCGGGACCACAGTTATTAAAACGCACGAACAATATTTAAGAGAGCAATGTGTTTGCATGTTTTGATGAGTGCGCGTGTATATGAGACATGGAATGTAACTATGATATGACGGATCATTTGTTAAACCACCAGCGGTACGATTTTTGGACGTATGATTTATGAAGTTGTATGTGTATCTACAACATATCAAAAAATTGAAACCATCTGAATAAGAAATAAACTATGTAGAATTGGAATTGTCTAGATTTTGAGAAACTCCTTCATCCGCTTCTTTGGTTTCACACGTAAAAATGAATAAGATTCTTCAATAAACTAAAAGTTAACTTAAATCTAGCAAAAAGTTTTTTAACATCGACTACTAACAACTAATGAATATTAATTGAGATACATAACGAAGTTATATAATGTGATTAATCTTGAAACGTTAAACAATAAAAGTACACGTGCATTGTTTATAATAATCATTGGTAATGGATTATCACTTAGAATTTACGTGACGTACGATTACTTCCTTTCAGATAAAGATAGAGAGAAAGAAATGGACAAGCTTTGATTAATGAATCACGACAAGAATCGTACGCCGGTTCAAGTTTAGTGCAAATGAAAGCGTGCATTGTGGTACATTGAGAAAGCTCTACGCAATCAACGATGGAGAAAGAGGAAACAATTAACAATAGAGTATTGCTGGTGGTTAATTGCAGGTATGAGGGGTGGCGAGGCTTTTACAAGGGTCTAAGTGCGAACCTGACCAGGGTGACTCCAGCCACTGTGATCACGTTCGTGATGTACGAAAACGTGTCTCACTATCTGCGTGAGAGAACGATGGATCAACAACGAGCTTTGCCAATTTTGATCAAGAACATTGAAGAGAATACCAAAATTTAGAAATTGTACTGCGAAAGAAACCGTGGAAAAAGAAATAGATTCATTTGCTAGACTAGTCGATACGGATACGATTCACGACGTGTGGAAATTTTTATTCGAATTGCAATAATGCAGAATGGAATGCATTTAATCAATCTGTAAGCAGAGATGTATTTTTTTTAGGCAATTCATTTTGATATCTATGAAATTTTGGCCAAATTTTCGTTTCCCAGCGCGTTATTCTATACATGCATGTTCGTGAGTTAGGTGATGTTGAGCATCACTATCCGCTGTTATTGCGAATACTAATTGTGAATAAGGTGGCAAGATTTCTTGACACTGATCAAGTACTTTTATTCGTCTTGCGAAACTTTGAATACCGTTATAACGAGATTACTATTATTATTGCATACGCACATGTCTTTTCATTCACGAAACTTTTATTTAAAACGTATCTTTTTCCGATAGTTCGGAATGAATTAGCTTCCATGATAGGTTTTTTCCTTAAGTATTATTTCATAGTTAAGTATAATTCTTAAGTATTATTTTACTTGTTTCATTGTTGGAAGAACAATGGGCATTTTTACGTAAATACGATTTCAGCTACGCATAGACAAAAGTGTGTGGTACTCTTATTATTGTTAGTGATCAAACTATATAGAACCTTATAAAATTATAAAACACGGAGAAGTTCAATTATTAATGTCTTTAGTTATTATAATGGATTGCAAGAATAAATTTGCTAAGAGAAAAACCAGATTATTTGTATTTATAGAGAATTTATTTAAAGATATGTATTTTTTTACAAAGATAACAATTATAAGATAATCTTACTCAAATACAAAAAGATGTTGGATATCATGTTTCGTATGAGCAATCACGCGATGAAGAAGTATACTTCACAAGCAACAAGATACACATGCACGATGCGCAAGTGTTAGCTGAGGAAATTACGTAAAAAAATTTCGAAAAATTCAATGAAACCTGTTTACTGATTAAACAGTGTTTAACTGATTTCAAACTTAGGATTTCAGTTTTGTTAATGTTCGCTCATGGGCCGAAAATGCCCATTATTCTCTGCATTGATTTAGATAAATCGCTTTACACAAGCAGAAAAATATCGAGAAATTGTACATATACTCATTTCTTAGTAATAAATTATGCGGCTATTTTATTAGTTTTAAATTTGTTAACGAATTTGAAAATGTTCCTCGAAGCGAATACAGAATAGAAGGTACACATGTATTTTCGATTCAATAAATATTACATTACATTATAAAAAAACAATACATTATAAAAAAAAAATGATGTTTATCACTCGACGACGAAAAATTATAATATTATTATTAATATTATTTATCAGGGAGGTGTGGTATAACATTCTTTGTGCATTCCTTAACAGCCTCATTATTGGACGACAGTATTATGAAGATTAACATTATGGCTTTTTCAACTATTATCGTTAAGATCATGGCGCCTTATCAAGGCTAATGGACTTTCGGGGCATTTTTTATAGCGGTAATTGCAATCTTTCGTGTATTCAGCCTCGGTGATCTCGCTCGAAAGATTTTCATCTTGCGAAGAGGATGGTCTATGATAAAAATTATACAACACTTTTAAATGCAAAACTTTCAAATATAAAACAGAATGTCCGAAAAGACACGTTTCGAAATTTTTAATTTGCTTTTAATTTATCAAAAAATTTTCAGTAAACCTGCATATACAGTAAAAGTCTGTTCAACACTTACGTAAATAAAATTTGCAATACATCGCCAAGCACCCCGTTACTAGTTAAAGGATAGTTGGCAACCTCGCAGATCATTTTTGGTAAACAATATTTCCCAGAATAACCAAAACTATAAAAAAGAATATTATAATTTCTTTTTTTTTTTTTTTTTTTTT